TATTTTTTTTTTTTTTTTGAGACACAGTCTCAGTCCATCACCATGGGTATAGTGCTATGGGGTCATAACTCATAGCAGCCTCAAACTCCTGGGTTTAAGTGATCTGCCTGCCTTAGCCTCCCAAGTAACCCAGGACTATGGATGCCTGCCACAACACTGAGCTAGTTTTTCTGTTTTTAGTAGAGGCAGGATATCACCCTTGCTCAGGCTGGTCTTGAACTACTGAGCTCAAGCAATCTTCTTACCTTACTCTCTTAGAGTGCTAGGATTATAGGTGCAAGCCACCATGCCTGGCTTTGAATTAATTTTATTTTACAGTTTATTTTGATATGGCAAAAAGTCATATCTAGTCTTTTTATTTTAATAAAACAAACTATGTTCATTTATATTTAATAAATAACTCGTGTAATCTTCTGTTCCTTTAAGGTTTACAAAGTCATTGCCCCCAGAGAAATTTGATAAAAAGTATTTTTTTTGATTTCTGATAGGATTCTTAAAACATTTAACTTAAGTCATAAGGAATTCATTTTAGGATAATACAGGAATCTAAATTGATTTTTTTTTTAAGTTACTTGCATTAAATATTCACTTTCATGTTAAATTCGCTTATGACTGATTCAGACATTTATTTATGAACTTTGAACAAAGCCTGGGTTACTGATTAATTATATAATGTCACTGATGAAGAAACTACATAAATATAAGAAATTAATCGCTGATTTAGGAATATTTCCTTATTGCAGTCATTATTCTGACACTGAATTAGACTAGGGTTTGTGTTATTCTGTGATTTGGTACAGATATGACTACTTTGCTCATACTTTCTTAGAAATTCTACAATAATCTAACTGAAGTAGTTTATCTGTAATTAGGTGAAAAATATTTTCAGTTTTACACAGACTTAACTGTGGAGTTTTTTAATTATAAATAATAAAATAGATTGCTATAGATTCTCTTTATCCTTTCCAAATGAGGTTTTACACTTATAAATAATATTTCTAGTCAATCACACAGCAGCCATATGTATTGTTTTGTTATGCAAAAGAGTCAAATTTGTAAATACTATGCATTTATTCTATATTATTATCCTCTGACTCAGCATGGTTTGGTTTGTTCATTTAATTTGTTTTGTTGCTTTCCCTTTATTTATTTATTTATTTTTGTTATTTAGCATAATTATTCTGAAAAGGGCCTATGGAATTTCTTAATCTAAAACTGTCACTTTACACTCAGAAACAAAAGTACAGATGAACTGAACCTACTTGATTGAGATTACACAGCCCTCAGAGTGGTATTTGTGATCTTCATACTCACAGGCCTGTGGTCTCTCTTCATATCACACTGCCCCATATTCTCATTCTTAACTTATAAGGCCATCAGTATATGCAAAATTCAGATAAAAAAGCAGTCCTGTCAACAGTGGAGTGATAGATGTTATTGATTTATTATTTTTGTTTAAATATATAGTGAAATTTTAATAAAAGTTTGTTTATATACATATGCTTTGTGTAATAGGTCTGGATAAAATTGAGTTTCTGCAAAGCCATGAAAATCAGGAAATTTACCAAAAGGCTTTTGATCTGATTGAACATTATTTTGGTGTAGAAGATGATGACCCCAGTATTGTACCTCAGGTGGATGAAAATCAACAACAGTTTGTATTTCAGCAGCAGGAAGCACCAATGGATGGATTTCAACTTTAACTTGGTGAAGAAAAAAAAATAATGGCTGAAAAGGGTAGCTTTGGATATCTCTTCTTTATTGCCAATGTTAGTAGGAAATTGTTGTTTTTTACATAGAATAGAAAAGGAAGAATTTGATGCACTATTATAAAGCAAAACAAAACAAAACAAGTTTCCATTCAGACACAACCTTTCTTTGTAGTTTGTTATTGTATGTGCCTGTATTTATGTCTCTTATTGTTTGGATTTTCGTATCTGTATGTGAACAATTAAATACATTATGCAATTATTTAATAGTTTAAGCTTGAAAAGAGAACTTTGGTAAAGTATTACGTAATTCAGAATTTTTCAAGTATTGAAAACTGCACATTAGCAGTATAGCTGTTGATAATTGCATTTTGGTAGTTAAGTCTTACACATCCAGTCTTTACTAAATCTACCTCTATCTTGAAGCAAAAAACAAAAACAAAAAAAAGCTTCAGAAGCATGACATATATAACAGCTAAATTAGAATGTGAAAGTATTTATTACCTTAAATTATAAACACTGTGCTGTAGATTATACTTTGCAGGAAAAAAAATTGCAACAGAAAACCTATAACATTTATTTGTGAAAAACAGAAAAAATATTGTACTCATAATCAGTTAAAATGTGGCAATTGTGAAGAGAGAAGCTGTTCTTCATGTTGAACACATTAAAAAGATTAAGCATTTCGATATTTGTGTTTTTAACATATAAATGCTATTATATTAATATATTTTGTATTTCAACCAAATATGCTACCATTTTTGAAATAGTGTTTTATTATTTTTTCACTGTTCACTTTAAAGAGCATCATGATAGAGATGCCATCATGAATCTAAAGTAGTGCTGCATACCTAAAATAATACTGTAATTATTTCTCTGATTTTTCAGAAGAGTATTGAAAAGCTTCCTTTCTGTAAAATAGTAAACATAGATAGTTCAATGACAGAGTTATCCTCAAGAAATAACCTTGTTATGTATTGAATTTTATTAAATGCATTTAACATTTGGATACTAAATGATGATAATGAAAATTACAGAGCATTCTTTAATATGGTTGAAATCTATATTAGAATTTTTTCTTTTATAGAGGGTCATACTGCTGCTTGTTATGAATCATGTTTTAGATTACATTTGTATCAGATTGGTCAATAGAATGTGTGTTTTATGAATTAACAACAAAATCCTTTTCAAACTATGAAAGTTTAAAAGAAAGTTTTCAATAGAAATATATATATTTATTTATAGATACATATACATGTGTGTATGTTACTCTCACAGCTTTGCAGAATTTCTAAGCAGATTATGGTACTGTTGAACTCTGTCTTTTAATTTATAGTTATATGCAGGCTATTTACATTTCTGATTACATACCTAGCATACTTATTTAAAACTTAGTTTACAGCTCTTTTAAGATGATAACTAAAGCAATTTTGATATGATTCGTAATCTGTTCTGTAAAGAATTCATTTACGATGGCATTTCCAATGTTTCTGCTAGAAATCAGAGGCATATTCCAAAAGGAAAATGTATATAGAAATACTTTTAAATAGTGTGATACTTTGTAAATTACATATCATGAAACTAAGCTTCTGGTAAGACACTAAAACCTACAGCTGTAAAATACAGGTTTAAATGGTGTCCATAATGCTGAGTGCATCTGCCAACCCTTTTTTATACTGTTAAGTAAAAGATTGTAGCTGTGCTCAAATTTTTAAGTAGTGAAAGTTACATAGTTGAGTTTTAAAAGTTTTTCTTTTTCCTTATATATTAAAAAAATAAACAGGGTAGTTAAAGATTACCAAATTGATGGCAAAATTATCAGATAAACACTTTTTTGTGGTACAGATGGTTCTAAGTATCAGGTGACAGGGTACTTTACTCTTTGTAATTAATTGAAATCGATAATGCAGCATAATTCATGAACTAACCAGCTGTGCCTGCTTTTATTTTGAGGACCCCATAGTTACTATAATAAATCTCTAAGCCAAATTTTTCAAACGAAATAGTTCTTATAGAAGAAATAATATATGTTGTGTGCACACACACATAGAATGACCTGTGAGGGGAGACTTTAAAACTTTTGCCGGTAAAACAAACATTATATCTCTAAGTACAGAATTTGACCATACTTTATAAGCATTTAAATATAAAGTTGCATTTGATTTTTTGGATTTTTTTTTGAGGGGTAATTAATATTATGATATTTGAATGCAAAGGATGCTGCTTAGTAGTTGGGACCAGCTCTAGGCCTAGTAATGTATTTATTGGATCAGTCTAACAAAATCTTGTTACTATAATTTTTTTAAAAATCTGGCTACTCTTTTCAAATGTACCATTTAAAAGGCTCTGAAATCTGTTTTCATTATTCTTTACTGGCCCTTACGGAGAAACAAAAATCTTTTTTTAACTTACTTTTCCAAGATTTGTTATATTTAAAGCAAGGAGAAACTGTGTCAAAAAAATTAATAAAATGTGATATAAAGGAGAATGCATGCAGCATTACTGCAAATCTAGGAAAATACTTGAAATATTATCCTTATCCTTTATTTAATTAAATTTGAGGTGTTATTGTATCTGAATTTGAATTTCTTCTAGTTAATCTATGCAATTTTGCCTGCTTGTTTTATATTTACAAGTACTTGATTCATTGGCCTGGTCTTTTTTACTGTAAGTTTTATTTTGAAAAGTTGTTTTAATTTTTAGTGTTCTTAAATTAAATTTTTAGTGTTCACTGTCATTTCTTCACTTACTGGTAGCACCAGAACAAGAAAGCAGAAAAAAAAAAAAAAAGTAATAAAATCTTCTGCTTCAGAAATAACATCATTTGGTAACTGTAAAACCTATTCACGGTTAAAGGTAGATTTATTGGACAAAAGTCTAAAAGAAACATTTAATACCTTTGTCTTTATTTTTTTCTTCTTTAAAGAAGGAGCATTATGGAAAAAATAAATATAAAAAGTCTTAGTGAATTTTTGTTATTCTAAATTTAATCTACTGACTGCTTAATTGTGAAACTGTGAAATCAGTTGTCAACCTTTGTTTTTATTTATAGCATTACTGTTTTATGAAATGTGACATTTTAGGAGCCAATATAATAGGGCTCTAAAACAGATAGTATGTCTTCAAATTCTGACTTGGGGGGTAAGATGAGGGGAAGATATTCTTACCTAAGTAAACCAACATTTGAGCAGTATGCAATATTATGAACTGTTATGGCACTATATTAAAAATAATAAAATACTATTTTACAGTTGCATTTATTCAAATGTGTCTGTTTCATTTCTTCTCACTTATGATTATGTATTCCTAACAGGAAGCAAAAACAAGTGCCATTATTAGTTCAATACCAGCAAAGGAGAGAATGGAATAATAAAAGATATCTCGGTAATCAAAAACTAGACTGAAAAGAGAAAACAAAAACAGACAAATAGCCAGATGGTAGATCTAAACTCTTAATAACCACAATAATTATTAATGATTTAAATATGCCAGTTAAGGTGCAGAGATTGTCAGAATAGAAAAGCAAGACCCATATCCTGTCTACAAGAAACCATTTTATAAAGAAGCAAATTGATTAATAGTAAAAGGAGGGAAAAAAGATGTAACATGTTAATACAAATCAAAAGTAAGTTGGAGTGGTTGTATTAATATCAAAATACATGTCAGAGTAAAGAATATTTATTACCATTACCAATATTTACCACCACAAAATTATTAGAGGATTTGTTCTATAAAATTTAGATTCAGTTAAAAGGCCACACTTAAGGATCCAGAAGGCCACATGTGAGCCCAAGGCCATAGGTTCTCCACTCCTGCCTCCAGACCAATGTCATGAAGCTTTTCCTCTGTGTTTGCTTCTATTAATAATAGTTTTATGATTTCAGGTTATTATGTTTAAGTTTAATCTATTTTAAGTTTATTTTTGTACATAGTGTGAGATGAGAGTCTGATTTATTTTGCATGTAGATATGCAGTTTTCCCAACGCCATTGAATACTGTCTTTTTTTCCTTTGTGTGTTCTTGGCACCTTTGTCAAAATTCTATTGATGATAGATATGTGAGTTTATTTCTGGGTTCTCCATTCTGGTCCATGAGCTGAGGTGTCTGTTTTTGTGCTAATATACTATTGATTATTATAGGTCTGTAAAATATTTTGAAATAAGCTAGTGTGATTCCTCCAGTTTTTTTCTTTTTGATCAAGAGTGCTTTGAAAATTTGGAGTCTTTCGGTTCCATGCAAATTTTGGGATTGTTTTTTCCATTTCTGTCAAAAATGTCATTGGAATTTTGATAGAGATTTACACTGAATCTGTAGATTGCTTTGGGTAAGGTGAACATTTTAACAATATTAATTCTTACAATGGGTGAAAACAGGATATCTTTCCATTTATTTGTGTCATCTTCAATTTCTTTCATTGATGTTTTTATAGTTATTTATGGTTAAGTTTATTTTTAAGTGTTTATTCTTTTTTCTACTGTAAGTGGGATTATTTTCTTATTTTGAATATAGTTTGGTGTTAAGAGTATAGAAATACTACTTATTTTTCTATTTTTGTAACCTGCCCTCTTACTGTATTTTTTTTATCAGTTCTAATGATTTTTCAGAGATTGTCTATATATGACCATGTTTTCAGCATACAGAAACAATTTCAATTCCTTCTTTCCCATTTGAATGCCTTTCATTTTTTCTTCTTTTTTCTTTTTTTTTTTTCAGATAGAATCTCACTCTGTTGCCCAGGCTAGAGTGCTGTGGCTTCCTAGCTTACAGCAACCTCTGACTCCTGGGATCAAGTGATCCTTTCTGAGTAGCTGGGGCTCCAGGTGTGCACCACCGTATCTGGCCAGCTTTTCTGTTTTAGTAGAAATGGAGTCCTCTCTTGCTCAGGCTGATCTCAAACTCCTGATCTCAAGCAATCCACCCACCTCAGCTTCCCAAAGTGCTAGGATTACAGGCATGAGCCACAGTGGCCTCCCTTTCATTTCTTTTTCTTACCTAATTGCTCTGGCTAGCTCTTGTAGTTAATACTGAAGAGAAGTAGTGAAAGTGGGCATCCTTGTCTTGTTCT